CAACTGATAAATTACTCAATAATTCAACTGATACATTACTCAATACATACAACTGATAAATTACTCAATACATCAACTGAGACATTACTCAATACATTCACTGATAAATTAACTAAATACGTTCAATTTATAAATTTACTCAATACATTCACTGATAAATTAACTAAATTCTTTCAATTTATAAATTTACTCCGTCCATTCAAGTGATAAATTTACTCTATACATTCAACTGGTGAATTTATTGAATTCATTCAACTTATGAATTTACTCAATACATTTAATTGTATTCATTAGATAATGACAATTTTACATACTACCCCTTTAACATACATTTAATTTCATTTTTATACACTCGTTAAAATCATTAATAAGTATATGATATTCACTAATTGGATTATGATGATGAAGTTAAAAATTCATGAAATCATTGTCAAATTATACAAATAAAATTACCGAGTTCAATGATTTTTATTCCCCAGGTTTTTGCTTTAGTTTCACCATTAATAATATTTTGTACAGTAATTATATAATAACCAAACGATGATTGATCTAATATCAATTCTAATGTGGATATAAAATTATTTTCAGAAACTTTCTCTGTTTTAACAAAGGGATATTCTACATCAGACATCAACTGTTTCCATATAAAACTTGGTTCAGGATAAGCTTCTATATTTATTTCTAATAATACCATTTCTCCAATTTTTCCTCTTTTTTCTTTCTTCAGTTCTTCTTTAAGTATTGGTGGACCTTTTATAGTAAATGTAAAACAGTGTTACTACTTATCGATAAAAACTAAACCTCATTCAGGGATTGTAACAAGTTAAATATATAGTCTTCTAATAGCAAATAAGGTTTAGGCTAGGCATAGTTTACACAATTCCATTATACACGGCTTAGCCGTTAGAACATAATGCATAACTTGAGTAGGACAATTGGTCAGACAAACCAATCTTAGAACTATTAAAGTTGTGCATCAGGTGATACGAAAACCTCCTCTATGAGACCATGGTCGATTATTCCTATTTGGTGAACTATAAATACAAACAATACCGTAACAATAATGGTAAAGATTTCGTAGTTGAATGATCAATACCATTACTAGCTCTACATAAATAGGTTATAATATACGGACTAGATATGTATTTTCATTAAATATTTAATGGTAAAGATTTAATAGTTGACTAACCAATGCCATTATTAGCTGAACATGTATAGATTATAGTATACTGACTAAATATAAACTTACATCTAATATTTAATGGTAAAGATTTAGTAGTTGACTGACCAATACCATTATTAGTTGTACATGTATAGATTATAGTATACTGACTTAACATAAACTTACATCTAATATTTAATGGTAAGGATTTAGTAGTTGATTGACCAATACCATTATTAGCTGTACATGTATAGATTCCTGTATCCTGACATTTTGCTTGTGTTAATGTCCACTGTTGACCAGTGTTAGTATCAGTACTAGTAGAAGATGACCAGGTTACAGTAGATACTGGTTTACTATCAACATTACAGTTTAATGTGATATCAGAACCTTCATCAGTTTCGTTATTTACAGCATCAGATGTTACACTGGTTATATCAGGTGGATCTGAAACAGAAGTAGGGCAATTAATAATCTTTAACATAGTCAGAATTTTATATGCCCATTTCAGCAACAATGAGTCCTAACATTTTCCGTTGATCTGTTTATATCAAATTTATGCTCACTTTAAAAAGGCATCAATCTTTGACAGATTGTTTCCGTAGGTTTGGACCGTGCCAAGGATGATGCCTATAGATTTTTGTGATGTTTGGATAAATCAATTGTTAGCATTTTTCGTATATATTTTTAGTGGATGAAAGTTGTGATCGTGCAAAAGTACTGAGAAACATCAAAAGCTTAGTCTTTCAGCAATACTCTGTGAAAAATATCTATCAAGACGTTTGCATTTATTTAAAAGTAGCTTTTCAGTCGAGCACAATAACATATTATCAGAAAATGCCCAATTCTTTTTTTATGATTATACATTGACATAGAGAGGTGGGTCATATAATAAATATATACTTACAATGTACATTAACTTGTATAGATTTAGATCTTGTTTTAGGGTTGGTATTTTTAATATTGGTAGCTTCACATCTATAGTTTCCTTCCTGATTTCTTTTTATTTGAGTCAATACAAGATCTTTAGTTGGTGATGAAACAGGTCCAGTCCATTTATAATTACACTGATAACAATCAGTTAAACATGTTATAGTTTGATCTCTACCTTCTATTATATTGATACTTGTTACATCTGGTGAGAAAGTAAGTTTATCTGGACCATCTGAAATAATAACAATCAGTTAAACATGTTATAGTTTGATCTCTACCTTCTATTATTTTGATACTTGTTACATCTGGTGAGAAAGTAAGTTCATCTGGACCATCTGAAATAATAACAATCAGTTCAACATGTTATGGTATTTTATACTAACAATAAATCTGAACATTAAGTTGTTTATTTAATACAGTATGTGTAATTGTACAGATATAAGAACCAGTTTGTTGTCTAGTATTTATTAATATAGTATTATATACTTACAATAAATCTGAACATTAAGTTGTTTTGTAAGTTGTTTATTTAATACAGTATGTCTAACTGTACAGTTATAAGAACCAGTTTGATATCTAGTACTAAGTGATAAAGGGTTATTTAGAATTGTTGTTGAACCATCTTTAGACCAGGTGATGTTACAATCTGGTTTACAATCAGCTAAACAGTTGACACTCTGACTCTTTCCTTCTATAACATCTATATTATCACTAGTAGGGTTAAATATTATATTCTCTGGACCATCTGTAAAAATCACTTTAATTTTTCTATTGTTATTTTATCTATTGAATTTAACCAAATAACGATGCTCATAAAATGAGAAAGGACATTTTTTTTCCTTCACAGAAAATGCAAATTAAGAGTGTATTATCGTGTCAGTTTGACTAGTGAATGATAATCTGAAAAATAAACTGAGATGAAAATTAACTTACAATAAACTGATACATAACTTGATCCTAGACCATGTTGTATCATCTTGTTTATTTATATTACTTATATTGAGATATAGTTGTTTGTTGTTATTCTTTATACATCCACATTTATATCTATTATCTGTTGATTGACTTTCACAAGTTGAAGATAATATACTACATACAGCAACATTGTTTATTCGGAACTGTACAAAATTAGGTGAATCTGTAACATCACATTGTAATGTATAATTTTCACCTAACACTGCATAACTTTCAGGAACTCCTCTTATAGTATATTGTCCTGTAATATAAACAATATGATAATCAAAGAACTTCTAGTTTTCATTCCATTTAATTTTGATTTCAGCTCACAAAACTGTCGTTGGTACAATATTACAATCTAAGATTATTTACATTAATTTAGATAAAATCATTCCATCAGTAAATTCTGAATTCAACCATTTCATCAACCAACAGTCAATCTAAGTTTGGA